TTGAATGGAGTACCACCAACCCTATTGGAAGCCTTTACAGTTTGCGCAGTCTTCACCTGCTCTGTACTTGTGAGTGCATTGAAAGATGTATTTATTCCTATAACTGTAGTTTTTTTTATTTTACACTGTGCATGTTTCTTTTTATCTTTTTTCACGTGCAATATTATAGAGACCTCTGCTTACGTAAGTGCTTAATCACAAAGAGTTGTGATGACCACAATAACACAGAACTTGTTTATTCATTTATAATTTACTGAAAGGCAGAGCACACCTTATATGGTTAATCCATATTATTTACTTAGTGTTTTAGTTTATTACACTAACTAGGTTGCTGCTACTGTTAATAATACACAGTGCCATTTTTCACTTGCTATTGTTTTGATTATAAAATAAAGCGTAGCTCAGCTCATCTCTCTCTCTCTGTCAGTTATGTTACTGTACCAATGAGGCAAATTTAGGAATGCTCATCTTCAAGACCCTGCCCTGCCCTCTGTATCATGCAAAATAATTGGTAGGTAAGCCTCTGATGAAGAACGCAACAATAAAATGATTGCTTGGCCTTCTTAAAACATTGCGGTTCCAATCAGGTATTCACAAATGTGAATTAGGGTGTAATTCTCCTGAAGTCAGCATTTGAAACCAGCAGGATATACTCTGCCGCTGGGCATTTTTAGCAGTACGGTAAATAATATTGAAAAAATTCTTATTATAAATGATCATAGCAGGCGTACATGGCTGGATAAAAAGTGGAGAACATTGCTCTACGTAGCAGCAGATATGTTACCTACAAAAATTAAATCAGACACAGAGCTGTGAAAGGAAAAAAGCATGTTGCTAAGTTTTTCTTTAACGCTCCATATCTTCTGCAGCCTCTTGCATTGGTTATGGTGCGAGGACTTTATCAGTATTTTTCAATAAAATGAAAATCGTCATCAATTTAAAGTAAATTCCAAATTTTAGGCAAAATCAGCTGAACTAAAAACTTAGCTTAAATGGAGAATTTTTCCACATTAGCCATCTTGTATTACAATGTGAAATTCACTTTTCATTTACTTTTACTAGCAGAGGTATTTACTAAAGTGAATACAAAATGAATTTCAAAATGGAGTCCAAACAAGCAAAAAATAAAACTCCTCATCGGGTATATTTCCAGTACAGCAATTTTAGCCACAATTTTGAAATTCACTATATATTCCCAAGAAATTACACTTCAGCGAATAACCCTGTACATTTCACACCTCCTGTTGACAATTTTAATAAAAGCTATAGTGTTGCCAAATCACATTTTAAAAAAACAAAAACCAAGTCATTTTAGAATTAGAAAATTCTACAAGTCAGCCAAGTTTTCAGTTTGGCTATTCTAGTCTAAAATATGAAACAGATTTTGCATTCGTTATAAATGCCCAACAACTGACACTTCACCGAATAACCCCGAGCAATGAGTTTACCACTTATCTAAAAAATGTCCAAGCCACCCTAAATCCAGCTCGCCACATTTCATGCTTAATAAATAAGCCCCGTACGAAATATACACAAACAAAAATATAATATAAATATATATTTTTTAAATCCTTCAATTGTATAATTTTACAGCTGACTTTGCAGATAGCAGGGCTAATAGAACAAATGCTTTCTTGTTGAGAATTTTGCTGATCGCACAATTCCGCATTCTAAAATGGTATAAAAAAGGTATCATAACTGATAGGGCAACCTACGAGTCAGCAGCCAGCATTACGGAGGCAAACAAGCCCTATATAAATGAGAGGCAGTTCTTTCACAGCGGATTTGGGGCACCCTCCTGGCGCTCTGCCCACTCCCTGTGTAGTGTTAAACAGAAATGACTGCAGTGAAAAATTTCCCTTCACCGTGAACTTATTTACAAAATCTATGTTTTCAGTATACATTTTTTTTTCTAAACAAACACTAAAATTGAGCTTATTTTTTACACCAGACCTATAAATGACACATGACACTTTAACTCATAAACAATTTTTATTTCTCAAGAAACAAAGACTTGAGAATTTTGAATAATAGAACTGAGGTAATCATACGCACCACAACAAAGAAACCAATCTGCCGCCTTTTTTTTCTCTCTTTTTTTTTTGTTTTCTGAGTGACAGAGTGAAAGCGGCAGAAACAGCTGCTGGCCAAGAACTGCAGACCTCTCCTCACAGCGAGGGTCCTGCTGTGAGTCGAAGGAACAAGCATTTAAAGCCTGCCAGACAGAAGGTGTGGCCATAGCAGCCCCACTCTGATACACAGTGTAACAGCACTGCTTTGTGTATTGCACAGGAGATCACCAGAGTTCAAAGGACTGAATCCCAGAGATACAATATTCAGGGCTGCCAGCAGGGGGAGGAGAGGAGCCTGTCATGGGACAAGAACAAGATGAGCCTCCTGTCCTGTGCACTGATGACATATCTTTATATATTGCATGGCATAGATTCAATGAGCTTACATAGGGCTTTATTTACTAAACAGTGCTACGATAATAAGCTCTCATGGCATCGGAGAGTGTCATACTACCAACACAAGTCATTATATAAACTTGCATGTTTCTTAAATTTGTCCAGGAATTCTGATGTAAAATAATAGATTATTATAGTATATTGTATTATTAGTTTTTGTTGGACTAATAGAATTATGGAACTTAAAGCTTTCAGGAGATCTCTCAACAGCTTGATTGTAAAGCTATTGAGTAAAGCAGGGACCTAAATTTTAAGTTTTATGCTAGTTGCAAAATTCAAATTTACATGCCCAGGCCAGCAAATCCCCCAGTTAAGTGACTGCATGGATTTGACAGGACAGCAGCAAGCAAAACCGCACTCACCCCAAATTTACTGCGTAAAAAACTATTCATCATATGTGGATGCAGGATACCTTTTGCAGCTACATGTGAGTTCCATAGTTTTTGCCGCTATGTCAGTGACATAGAAGAACATCCCAGGAACATAAAATAGGATTTATCACGACACACTTTAAAAGTAACCGCTTGGTAAGCTGGAAGAAGGGAAAAAGTTGGACTTAAGGACCCAGAGCTCCTAACTAATTACGAAAGATTGCAGCTACCCTGTCCACAGGCTTACACTCACATATTGGTGGCAACAGGCACTGAGGTTTCAGTGAGCACAGTAAGATGCGTACTAAACTCAGAAGGTCTCATGCCAGAACTCCAAGACGTACACCACTACTATTCCAAATGCACAAGAAAAGTCGGCTCCTTTATGCTCAAAATCATATAAATAAGCTACAGAAATTTGGGGATCCTGTTCTGTGGAGCGATGAAACAAAACTGGAACTTTCCAGCCCAATGGATCAGCAGTATGTCTGGAGGAAAAAGAACGAAGCATATGCTGAAAAGAACACTGCCTACAGTTAAGCATGGTGGTGGCTCGGTGATGCTTGGGGGCTGCTTTGCATCCTCTGTCACTGTAAACCTGCAGCGTGTGGAAGGCAAGATGGATACAATGAAGTATCTGAAAATCTTAGGAGAAAACATCATGCTGTGTGTGAAAAATCTGAACCTTGGGCATCACTGGACCTTCCAACAAGACAATGATCTCAAGCATACCTCAAATTCCACCAAGGCTTGGTTGCAGAAGAAGTCCTGGAAAATTCTACAGTGGCCACCACAGTCAACCCCACTTAAAATCTCTGGTGGGATTTGCAGCATGCAAAGCTAAGAATATTACTGAAGTGGAGGCCATTAATGCAGGTCATAATAGCAAAAGGGTGCTTTAATAAATTCTAAAGATGCCCACCATGAAAGGGCTGAATAATTTTGAGACTGGCGAAATCATTATAAGTTGCATTTTCAGTTGAATTTGGGGAAACCACTTGAATCATGCATTGTTTTGAGCTATTTCAATTGCTTTTGTTTGATTTGCAAACAGCTGAAAGTCTGTAAATTTTCATAATAAACCTGATTTTCAATGGGAGTTGAATTATTTTGATTACAACTGTATATAGATGAAGGTGGCCATTCATCCATTTACAAACATGATATCCGACCATTGGAAGTCAAAACAAAGGCTGTCATATTTAATACAATCCTTGCACCTCAATACAAACCTATCTGGTGGAATTTGGTGGCAAACACACAGCTCTGGTGGAAGGGTTGTAAGCAGTAAAGTTAAATGACTTGTGTAGCAATACTAGCAAAAGGTGGATTGCATACTTAGACAGGTTGCTAATTTAGTTAACTTCAAATTTTTCAGACAAAAACACAGAATTGAAAACACAATTGACAAATTCAAAATATATATTGGCCTAAAATTTAAAATTCACTTTGAATTAATTTTTTATTTCTTTAGTAAAACTTTAACACTTTATAAGATTATCACGTTAATTGAAATGTCTGCATATATATGAGATATAGAAGTAGAATTTACACTGGTTCTAGAGATTCATATTTGTGGCCAAACATAAGTTCTGCAAAAAACATATGTGCTGATACATACGCACATAACATAATCCAAAAACTCCAGACACATACATACTCCCAGACACACACTTACAAACATAAACACACACTGCCAGACATACACATCTAAACACATAATAAAAAATAAAAAAAACTAATAAAATCACATTTTTTATTTATTAAAAAAACAAGATGAGTGGGGCGGAGCTTGACTACCAAGCAGACTAGACGCACATGCCGAGAGCTCCTGAGTCTGGAGCCCAGATTCAGGGTTTATTGCCCGACCACCCAATCGTACCGACAGCTTAACGCAAGATTCATACCTGGGAGACTGCACTGCACCAGGGGATACCCGATTCACGGTTCTCCGGTGCTGGACTGACCAAATGGAGTTTGATGGCCTACATGAGTGGGAGCCGAGGAGAGACAGCCGCTCTCCTGGTTCTCTGGCGGACGAAGGGGCACTCCAAAATCCCTCCTCCCCCTCTCGGTCCCCGAAGACCTGAACTGCCATGGTCTCGGACGCATCTGGGGGCCTCACAAAACTCCCAAGCAGAGAGGGATGGAGACACCAAAGATGGCGGATACCCCTGGCCCAATAACACGTGGTCTGAAAATGCCACGGCTTGAACCAGCTGAACCAAGCATGGGATGGACGGTTACCCTGGAAGCCATAATAGACAGCAGTAAAGCAACGAAAACTGCAGAGGCAATGTTATCAGCTGAGGAGGCGAGCTGCGGACGGACGTCTTGCACAAAGCTGCCGAGGAGTGCCGTGTACCAACACACGAATGCCAGTCCTACACCGCACAACCAAACCACTGCAGGGCCAACATCTGTGCCGCTTACAGCTGGTCATCTCCTCACCAAGCGACAATATCGCTCCCTGGCAAGCCACCCCCAAACTGGACAACTCTATATACCCGGTGGGCATCGGCTAAACTGGGCTAACCCGAGTGGCGTGTGGTGCAGGGGTCCTGTACCTACAACCTACACCATGCAAGACATTGCAATCGCTGGCAGACACCCAAGGCTCCGATGTTAACCTTCAGCAGGTGTCCTATTAATATTCATATTTTTGCTTAGCCGTATGTTTGCCTAGTTTAATTTGACATGCACAAGCCTGTACATGCTATATGATTCACCCTATGACGACCCATAGACAATGCACTCCTGCCTGCATTATTTAAACATGCATAAGCTGTCTCAAGCGGTAAACCCCTGTATGTAACATGATTTTGTTTAATTGCATTTAAGCCAGTTCCTGCTAATCGCAGCCCACTGAAAACTAATGGGTGGCATAGACCCACAAATCTACTTGCAGAAACCGGTTGTAGTCTATTACAGGGTAAGGGGGGTTTAACTCAGTGCCATAGGGCAAAGACCTAGCCCAATGACATCCTTCATGCGACTACTAAACAAACTTGCTACCATAGTTAACTGTACTTAGCTTGTATGCAGACTAGCAAGTCTACCCCAATCTTACTATTGCTATTCTTAAAAATGCTTGCACCACAAGAATCGTTTGCTCATACCTTCATAAAAATGTGTAATTGTTATGCATGCCACTTCTATGTCTAGCCATACAACCACTGATATGCTGGAGTATGCTATTGTGATATAACCGGCTTGCCTGTTAATTGACTTTAGCACAACTAAAATAAAGAATTAAACAAAATAAAAAAAATAAAGTTGAATAAAAGAAATTCTAGTGGATGACATTTTAATATGCATGGCAGTATGTGACGGTGATTTAAGCCTAAATATCCAAGTTACAAATAAGAAGAGAAAGGGAGACGGCACAATTTAAATCACTTCCTTTGTTTTCATACTTAAAGTGGATCTGTCACTTGCAAGCACTTTACATCAAGCAATACGATGCAGATAGCTGTATGTATGTTATATTAACATTCAAAAATTCTAAAATTGAATCAGTTTTTTTTTAATTTGTCTGAGCAGACAATTTTGATGTGATGTTATGTGTACACATTGTAAGTCTATATATTTATTTCATATTTTTAAATTTCTTTAATAAACGCTAAACTGGAAAAACACAGCACATTTAATTAGTCTACAACTAGACGTAGATCCTTTGGGGGGCATCAGGACAAGTTCTTCACATGAGATGCCATACAGGTTATCTGAAGTTAGTACCTGTATAATAACTCCTCCTGCAATTGCAGGCAGTTTTTGTAGTCTGTGTGCATATTGCACCCTGGGAAGCCGAGCAGCATGGGAGTGAAAGTCCTGGCGTCAAACCGACTGTGTCAGAGATGTGATAGAGAGCGGGGCTACGACTTCACGTTCCATCCCCGCACGTTTGCACAGCACCCACTTCCAAACTGAATTGTGCACTCTTAAATGGCTGTCAGTCCCATGTCACTCATGACTGCTGACCCCGGACCAACTCCCACCCCCCGTTGCCCAATAAATACACAACACCTTCTGTATGGGTAAGGGCAACGGCCACAGCTTTATTAACAGAATTAACATCGATTATCACCAGCGTCCACAACCTGTCAGCTGTTGGGGATTACCAACAGACAGCTCTATCAAAAGACCCACGAGTCCAATGCAGCCTGCCCCCGCCATCAGCTCTCAGCAGGCTGCGACTCCCCAAGCCGCTTGGGCACTTCTTCCAAACCTCTTCGCTGGCCAGGACTACCGCCACCGCGGTTCCTCCCTACCTACTCCCCTGGGAGGGACCGCGCCCCCCCGCAGCCAGTGCCTCCTCAATACCTGCCTGAAGCCCCGCATTCAGGATATCCAATCCTATGAGGGAAAGGTGCACCCCATCCTTCCGCATCAAGTCGGAATTGTCCCCTTCCAGCTCCCTGTGCCTAATGACAAAACCACCAATCCGGCGGCCAAATTTCCCGATGGCCACGTTGAGCCTGCGCCTACTACGCTCCACGCCCTTAGCATGCGGCAGCGAACGCCAACGCGGCCTGGACACTATGTCCGACCAGATCAGGGTCAACTCGGGGAAAAGAGCCATACACCGAGCCAGATCGTGTCTAATCGCATGCAGGAGGTCCACTGACCTACTGCGCCCCAGGTCATTTCCCTCTGCATGAATTACTAGGGTTACTGGCCCCGACACGTACCTACGAAGGGATACACACTCCGAATACAGCTGCTGCCACAACATACCCCTAATACCCCTCCACCTTACCCTGGCTATCTCGTAGGAAAAACCCAAATTCCTCCCGTAGGGACGCTCCTCCGCTCGCCGCGCAGCCCAATAAACGTAGGAATGTCCCAGTATCCAAATGCAGCGGGGCCGAGGACCTACGGAGAGATTGCATTATAGTAAATGAGGTCTGACATAGGACCTGTAGCGCCGTGAACCCCATCTACCCAAGCGCTGAATCGCTGCGATCCGAGAAACCCCACAAACTAGCCTGGGTGGCCGCCCCTATCCGAAAAGAATGAGTAGAATAATGGCGAGGATTCACCCCGCATGCAACCAAGGCAGCACGGAACCTAGCTGAGAACTGATAACGTGTAAGGGGGGACCCATCCCTATGCACCAGAAAGGAGAGGCACCACACCGGCCGAATCTGCAAATACTCTGAGAAAAGACGGACCGGACAAAACCTGCCTCTCGTGGCACCGATACGCACCAATGAACCCCTACCTACCTGGTCTGTCTTGGAACGCCGTATGAAAACATCTACGTAGTCCTCGGACCACCGGATATCCGCCATGAGCAGCGGCCCCACCGCCCAACGGTTGCGTGCCACCAACTCGCCCACCCTAAAAGCTCCAAAAAAACAAAAAGCAAATGCAATCCGAAATAATGAGGCTTCATAGTCTGAGAAACAAACCGCCCCCAGAGCCGCCAGGATCCGTCCCAGCAAATCGGCTGACACCGGGAGGCGGCAGTCCGGGGCCCTCCTAAGTCTCCAAGCCCGAATAACCCGCTGAATACCGAACCACCGAGAAATGTCTTGCCAACCCATAGACCAACAAAGAAAAGATAGGGTGCTCAAAACCTTCTCGGCCGCAGAACAAGACTTACCCTGCGCAAACATGGACTCCAACAGTAGCAGAGTCGCCTCCAAGCGCCCGGACTCCGACCCCAGCATCATATCCTGCGAAAACGAGGACAGCCACGTCCGCCAGACTGCTTGATATGCCTTCCAGGAAGAGTCAGCTAAGGAGTCCGACACCAAGCTCCTCAATCCTCCAAATCGATCGCCCATAAGGAAACCGGACATCGGATACCCACTGCCTCCGCGGCTGGCGCCGACTCCCGAAAACGGTCCCACTGAAACCGAGAAAGAGAGTCAGCTACCACGTTGTCAACACCCGGGACATGACAAGCTCTAATCCAAACATTGAACTTTAAGGAAAGAAGTACCAACCGTCGCAGCAGCGCGAGAACTGGAGGGGAACTGGAGGTGGAACGGTTTATCACATGGACAACACTCATGTTGTCCGTGTGAAAAACAACAGTCCTGTTGGCCAAAGCCTCCCCCCAGAGCTCCAGAGAGACAACAATGGGAAACAACTCCAAAAACGTCAGGTTACGCATAACATCCAAACCCCGCCATCGAGCTGGCCATGCCTCCGCGCACCACTTACCCTGAAAATATGCCCCAAAACCCACGGAGCTGGATGCGTCCGTGAAGAGGTTCAACTCCGAGTTAGACGCAGCCTCCAGCAACCAGCAGGAGCGTCCATTGTAGCGCTCCAAAAAGGAGCTCCAAACTTGGAGGTCCGCGCGCAGACGCCGCGTGACTCGGATAAAATGAAAAGGCTCCCGAACCCCTACCGTGGACAAGGAGAGGCGCCTGCAGAACGCACGTCCCATGGGAAGAACTCGGCAAGCGAAGGCCAAGTGCCCCAGAAGCACCTGCATTTGCCGCAACTGCACCTTCCTCGCCCCTCGAACCAGGTTGATCGTCCGCAAGAGAACCGACACCTTCTCTTCCGGCAGCCTAAAAACCATACCGACAGAGTCGATCTCAATCCCCAAAAACGACAAAACCCGAACCGGGCCCACCGTCTTAGCCTCTGCAATGGGGACCCCGAAATATCCCATGACAGCCCGAAACGTTTGTAAAAGCCGCTCACACTCACCCGAACCCGGAGGGCCAACGAAAAGGAAGTCATCCAAGTAGTGAGTAGCAGACTCCAAACCCGCCTCCTGTAGCGTTACCCATTCGAGAAAACAGGAAAACATTTCAAAATAAAAACAAGAAATAGAACAACCCATGGGCAAACACATGTCGTAGTAAAAAAAACCCTGAAAAAAACAGCCTAGCAAGTGAAAACAGGAGGGGTGAACTGGCAACAGACGGAAAGCCGATGCTATGTCAGATTTTGCCAACAAAGCACCTTGCCCGGCCCGACGAACTAACTCCAAAGCCCTATCAAATGATGCATATCGCACGCGACAGATGTCCTTGCCAATGGCATCATTTACCGATTCACCCGCCGGGTAGGATAGGTGCTGGATCAAACGAAAGGAACCTGGGTCCTTTTTGGGAACCAATCCCAGAGGGGAGACCCTCAAGTTAGGAAAAGGTGGCGCACTAAACAGGCCAGCCATGCGACCCGCCTGCACCTCCACCTGCAATTTTTGCTGTAAAATATCTTCTTTGCCCTTAACCGAGCGGAGATTGTCCGCGAACCGAGGGAAAGAAGAGGGAACAAAGGGGATCCAGAAACCTACCTGAAAACCATCAAACAATGTCTGTGCATCGCGACCCCTATGATACCGGGCGAGCCACGGGAGCATCCTTAGGGCGTCCACCGGCGTCCTCTCCCCTAGGTATGTCATCTCGAGAGGGACCCTTTCCCGAAACTGGCTTCCCCTTTCGGAAGCAGCGCACAGCGGTGTGGGCTCCCCCGCAGGGTGCACATTCATGGCGGAACCTGCAGGAGCTGTACCAGCGGCAGTGGCTCTCATTAAAGAGCCAACACACACCTTTTCTCTGCCCTGCGGAGGAGCCGGAGTTACCTCCGGCAGGCCCGGGAAAGGGGGATGGTCTACTGGGAGTCATAAGTAACAGCCAGAGACTGCCATCCTGCACG